GTGCAAATATATGGAAGGAGTCTGTTCCAGACTCCAGTTGTCTTTTGTCGAAGCTCAGACTCTGGCACAGGATCGGGAACATTGGAAGCTCTGTCTGAAGCGTCTGCCTCCGCGACCCGAAAGGAGAAGCGGCGATGGAAGATGAAGATGAATATTTTTTTGCTATTACAAGTAGATTTAACATAACCTATTTTTCGGTCTATAGTACTATTAACGAACTTGTTTATTTTATCACATTATTGCTTCCTGTTAAATTGATATCATGAATTATAAATTAAACTACTTTAGCTCTGTTTGTAACACCAGCGTTGTCAAAAAATATTTTGATTTTAAGCCTATCTAATTTTACCTTTTCATATAAGTTTTAGCCAAAAATTTTAAATTTTATATATAATGTTGACGTTATATATGAAAGCTTGTTTAAACTTATTTGGTTTTTAACCAGTTCCGACAATGACAACTCCTATGCAACTACTTGAATAATTACATAAAAGAAACATGAAATACCGTCACTCAAAGAACGGATGCCCACTTATCAGTCTGAAAAGTTAATATTACTGTATACGAACGCAAACGACATGCGGTAGCATAGCTCTCGGAAGATAACAAAGTTTTGCCTTTAGTCAGGTCAAAGAATAAAATGAAGAGACCTCAGGAGATTATATAGCGCGCAGCTATAAAAGGTTGGGTTCCTCCTTCCCACTCGTCACATTGCTCCGACATCATTAAAGAAAGAATCTGGCAGTATAGGCTCATCAAAAAGCCAATAATTATCCAATCTTTAGAAAATTTCAACCTAGACAGGATATGAACTCCCTATTGGAAATGTCATGTCAAGCATGTTACCGAAAAACTACTTAACTACTCTACTACATGGACCAAAAGCGGATTTGTCTTAAATTTTGCAACAGCTGCCGAGCAGCAAACCACAGAACGAACTTAAGAAATCAACCACAAATCTGCCCACCATGAAAAAGGCCTGGCAGACACGAGCCGAAACGTCATCACTAGTTAATCACCGATTGACCTAGTTGTCTGCGTTGGGTGAATCTGCCGTATTTTTATAGTTTTCAAGAGACTCGATGCCATAGAATCATTTCACAACGCGTTTCATTTTAGTGCGACAGGTGCCACCGAGAATCTCCTGTGATCCATTCGAGTATTGTTTTTCAGCTTTAAATTGTAGCATTCAAAACTAAAGGCTAACTAGTAAGCTGTGTATGTCACAGTGTCCTGCATAGACTGTAGGCCATTTCAAGATTTATGATTGACCTTCACGGGTACGTTAGATACGCGCTCTTGTTCTGTTCTGGTTCGTATATTGCTCGGCGTTCTTCCATTTTCCGTTCTTGCATGTTGCGGTCGTCATTGTTTGGAAAATTACTGAAACTGACATTAACTGACCTTTGTGTTATAGTGTGAAGAGATGCCCAGAAGTCTGTCTGACTTCGCATATTCAATGTACCATACGGTAAGTTTTTCATTCTTTTACTGTAAGCGAAACACTCATGTGTAGTTTCAGGTCCGTAACATTTTTGGGATTAATGCAGCCAGTCGTCCACTTCCGTTTCGACAGTGAACGCATTGATCACGGGATATGATTCCCCAAACTACGATTTAATATGGCCATCGCGTACCATCCAATTAAGAGCTATGGCAGCCTGTCTGATTATCGTGAGCATATGACAGTAGTTTATATATGTATCTTCTGTCCAAAAGATGCGGTCAGAAATCAAGAGAGTGCAAAATTTTGAACTTTAATTGGTCTGTTTCGACAGAAAATAAATGGGCATGGTTATGTCTCTTTTACTATGCCATGGATTCCAACGTCAGATCACCGTTATGTTCTCATTTCAAATGAACCGTTCTGACGATTCGCTCAGATTTCCTGCCGTTTCGACTAATGATTTCTTTACTGTTCTTCGCTGATTGCGGATATACCTATCTGGTTGCTACGTAGTACTGAACAACAAGCCTAAAGGTGCGTTTTCCTGTTCAGGACGCACAAAAAATGTGTGCAAGGAGTGCTCTGAACATAGTCAGAGACAGTGAATTCGCTTGAGTTGTCAGACCGCAGCAATGGCCACAGTCATTAGTTTTCGATTTTCTGATGGACCAACGGACGGAACTGAGTTTCGGTGCTTCCATTAAGCCGAAGTAATCCTAGTACTACATTTGGATGCTGGAAAGCCGCTTAATGCATTGCGCATCTCCCTTCTTTGGTCGATTTTCTGCAAAAAAATACGAAAGTAGTGAGCAAAACTGATGCTTGAAACGGAAAGATGTGACGTTCATGCATTGATCTGTGTTATCCTGGCGCCGTATTGTACGTTACACAAGACTTACGATAAAGCTGTATTTGTTGGCGTTTCGCGATTACCTATTCAAATTAGCGCTGAGCACGTCAAAAATGAGGAGCAAGAATAAGCGCAAACGCTGAACAACGATACTGGTGGTTGCATTGAAACACAAAACAGTGAATTGCAACTAAATCTAATTTAATTGTGCGCTTCTAGCTGTGCGCTAGTACTTCTGTTAGAAGATTCTGGATTGGAAAAAGTGTTTGGTGGTTTTCGTGACAACTACTTTTAACCAAAGGTTCGCTGAAGAATAGCTGAATTCATCCAATGCAAGTGGCAGGAGCATTGGCTTGGTTTTACTTCAGACTACGGTTTAATATGGCCATCGCGTACCATCCGGTTAAGAGCTACGGCAGTCTGTCTGATACTGATGTTACTCTGATTCAATTACTGATGTTACTAACTGGTTTGCATGCCACGTCGAAGTGTCGATCAGTGCAAAGCCATTTTCGAATTATGATTTCGCCGTATTTTTGATTCGGCTGCCGTCATTATTTTTCAATTTGTCCTTGTTGTCTTTCGTCCATCTCAAGTGCACCGGGTGGGTTGCTTGTTCTTCGAATTTAAGAATAAACTGGAACGATCATAATGTTTTTTTCTTTCTCTAACGAACGTAAGTGAACCCTTCCTCGCTCGGGAGGGTAGGAGAAGGGTGGAATTATAGGGAAAATTAACTGGCGTTATGTACAGTGAAGGCCAAGTACAAAGTGAGCAACTTTCTGAAATCGATCGACAACTGCTAATGATTCTTCCAGTTTCTCTGTCATGTCGATTCTATGTTACCGATAGCAAAAGGTTTGCAGATACATCCCGTTAATCAGTTTTTGCTTTGTGAAAATATCGGTATAGCTGGCAGGAAGCTCTGCACAATCTGCCAAGATTCCAATGGTTGCGCCAAGTGCTCGAGTGTAAGAAATATGGTGATTCATTTGTTCAGAGAATTCTTTATTCTGTTTCTGTACTGATATAACGATGGATTCTGCTTCGTGCAGTTGTCGACAAAGCCTTGAAGCAATTTCAGGCAAGACTAAAAGAGATCCAACGTCGTGTAAGGCATCTCTGTTCCATCTGATACGCAACTAAGCAAGACGGGACAAGATGAGCAAGGTTACAGTACAGTTCCTTGCCGGAGAGTTCCTTCCCGCGATTGTATACTGTGCTCCAAGGTTCATTTTATCTATTTCCTGAATTTTCTGCATTATTTTTTTCCGAAGAAAATGACCCCCTTCGCTTCGAAATGTGAATGAGCTTAGCCTTCATGGAGTATACAACGCGAGAAATATTCTCAAATGATAAGGGCCTACGCACATCGACTGTGGAAGAAACTGGCTGGCTGTAACTGGAGGCATTAGTCGTATAATTCTGCAATAGCGCAAAACGCGATGATGGACATTAACCTGTTGTGGACCGGCTATACTTCGGCATGTCTATCGCCGGCAAAATAGCCCAGCGACAGGGACATCGGGTTTTCCTTACAGTTCGAACCGAACCATTTGCCGGAAACAACAAATCCCCATCGACTAAACATCTACAGCCGCGTACTGAAGAAGTCGCTTTACGGGCCGAACGTAGGTTGTCGGTCTGTCATCCGATAGACCGTTGTTACATTGTGTTCGTCTGTTAAGCTTGAGATGATCAATGCTCGCCGACGAACGCGAGCGGTATGTTCATAAAGATCATCCAGAAACAATGTGTTTCTCTTTCCAAGACAAGATTCTGTGCGAAAAATCCTGAAGAATGGTGCAGCGTGAGAAGGAAGAGCACCCTCTTCTGACAGGGATAGTACTGGGAAAGAACTTGGCTCAAAGGGCGCTTCACAAAACTGTCTATCACTGGTCCCGTATGTGTGTATGTATGTATGTGTATATGTATACATGTATTGAGAAGATCGATGTTCGCTAACGAACTCGAGCGGTATGTTTATGAAAACATCGCATAAGAAACATAGCCCCTCCATTTGCAAGAAAAGATCCTATGCCGAAAGACTGGCCAAATGGTGCAACATGAGACAGGAAAGGCACCCGGTTCGACAGCCAGATTACCGGCATCATTCGTGCTCAATGGGCAAGAGACGAAATTACTGATCAATATATGCTGTTTTACGTCTGTTGAGTTAGAGAAGATCGATGCGCGCTGGAGCGCGCGAACGGTATGTTCATAAACTTCGCCCCTTTCATGACAAGATCCAGTACAGAGTGCTTTTACTGAGGTGGAAATGATGTTTGACCACGGACGAACAGGATTCCATGCGCATCATCTCTGGGGTAGGCAAAGCCCGCCCTTTCTGATTCTGTGTGAAGATACTACCAGCACATTTTATGGAGGTTTGAGGACCTTCATCGCTTCCGAGAAGCTAGCAAATCAGAGTTACAAAGTGACAACGGGTATTTTGGCTAAAGGTGAACTCGATGCTATAGACGACGCCAACGAAACCGCACTCTTCCCGAACTTTCTCCTTGAAGAAATCCCTGAGATACAGGCTGAAACGTTGATCTTTTGTCTGATTGGTGGCTCTCGTATTGTATGTAAATAAATGGTTTTGTGTTGTATTTTACGATTTTATATTGTTAAGTTTTATTGCCTTTTTGTTTCACTGTTAAAGTATATTCCTTTCTGTTGCCTTCAGCATTGTAAACTTGATTAAATAAATTTTTGGTAAAGGGCATTTTTCATCAGTTATTTACACATGCCGCAGTAAAGTTGGCATTGACATCATGAAGCAGATTCTTACTAGCGAGATCAGGAATACAGTTAACATTTTTCACAACTCGATCTCGATTTCACTGTTCCATGTTCTCTGCTAATGAAAAGTTTCCTGCAGTAAGGATTGTAAATGTGTAGTGTTCACATACATAACCGACTTACCGAGCTCCGTTTTACTGCCTGCCATGCGAATTTCAAAGTCGTGGGATTATCCTATGTTTGTTTCTCTCAGTCTTTATGATTATGCCCGAACGAGAAAATTCTTAAGGATTACATTTATTGTCTTAATGTGAGGAATGCGTATGGATTAATGTTTACAAGCTATTATTTATTAATTAATGTAAGTGACCTAATATGGCCTAAAATATCTGTGGCAAGACTGAATAAAGCGTGGATGAACTGGTACATGTTCATTTATTACAGTGTCTTCGAGACTGCGGCTTTGTTACTGTTTTGCGGTAATGCAACTACAGTTCCGAAGCACGCTAGTATGAAGTCAAACGCTTATGGAATCAACGAAATGATTTAGCATGCTTGTAGATTGCTTTCTTTGAGGTATTTATGGCAGAAAAACTTGTTTGTCCTTGCTGCCAGAGAAGGTCTGTAGTTGCATTGGAGTCTACTGGTTTTATGTATAGTATTATTTTATGCCAGCATCCTTAACGACTTGCATCTCCTAAATCACCAAGAAATGGGATGGTTTTATTGGTTAGCATAAAATCAGCAGAATCTGATCATTTAGTCAATTACTGCCAGAAAAGAAGACATTGCTGTTAATCTTCTAAAGTTCAGTTCTTACCTTTGCATGTAGGTACGTAACACCGTGATGATTCATGAGTGAAGAACTAACCTTATTTTTATTACACGCGATAAAACCTTCGATGCCGGATCGAGGTTACGGCTGATACCAACTTTCTCAAACTGCAAAAAAGATTGGCATATTCGTAAAAAATTGTCCAGACACGATCAATTTTTCTGGCAGTCTGGAGTGTACGTAGGTTTCGCCAAGACAGAGAGAGACGCCATGACTGTGTTCTCGACGTTCGGTCGTGTCTCAGATAAGAGGCTTCAACAACTGGCCGTTCTTTGTCGTTGCCAACCGTTGTTACTATGGTCGTTTGTCGATGACGACGTTTCAGAGGACCAAACGTTGATGAACAGCAACTGCTGAACTTCGAAGCGGTGCGTTTCTTCTGTTGATGGTGGTTGGTTGATGATCGCAGGTGCTCCGTTATGTTATGTCGTTCGTTTTCGCTTAACCTGTGTTGGATGGCGCATTCTGTGCTGTTTGTACAATTGGTATCATCGATCTTTTTGTCGCTCTTAATTTACTCTTTGATCTTCGTTAAACGAAATTAATTTGTTTTCTTACTTGACGATGTACCTGATGTTTTTTTGCCCGCCAATTCTGAGATGACTGGAATATATGGTCAGTTTTTCCAGAAATTAATATCTCTGGAAGGAGTATCTTTTCCTCTTAGACCTTAGCTTGTGATTTTATTATGCGTGTATAACCATCTACTGATCCTATGTTAACGCATTTCTCATTTCAAGGTTACGTCGTGCATAAGTTGTGCGTAAGCGTGAGCAATCAGAAGTGTTGAGAATCTAAGCGATAAGCCACCTGTTTACGCAGGTAACGTTTATTTTTACGTTAATTCTTTTTAGCCATTCGGTTGTTTCAACTTATAATTAGTAAAGATACTGCGTAAACCTTATTGCGGGTTATTGAAATGAACAATAACAGCAAAGGCACGACGTAAAGATAGAGCTTATCATTGCCTATGATGTTTGATTGTTTAATCGGTGATAAACAATATATTCTTGATAAACAATGTTTTTTTAGTTAGCGCATTGCGATCAACTTCACGGCATTGATTATAAAAGGTTTTATCCTCTGTGACTGGTAACGGACAAGACTGTATCGATCGTGATGTGGAAGGTTTCCTACCGACTGGAATGGACTTACCTGTACAGTACATGATGTTGATTACCTCAATCAGCTATATATTACCTGTTAGTTATAGTTATGGGCAACAGCGCTAGTCTGCTAGCCGAACTGACTTTGTTGGTATCTTCTTACCCATTTAATTACTGTAACTGTTTGGTTGACGGATTCCAAAAGCACCCTCTTCTTTTTGACTCTATTACCTCGTTGTGTTTTGCTCGATCTCTCCGGATAGCATGGTTGTTCGCGACATTGTTTCGTTCGTGACTAAGTTGGTTGTTTCTGCTCTGTTCAGGTAGACCACATGTCCCGAACCAGGTCTGAGTTTGCCTCAGGTATTTTCCGTCTCGCTGTAACGTTGGTGCGGTTTATCTAGACATGCACGTCAGTCGGAATTTTTCCTTGTTCTGGCATTAGAAGCCCGTGACAAATGCAGGCTAGAGATCGTGTCGTTTTTTGTACAACCAAGTTTCATTGCGCATGGCCACATCTCTAGGCTGGGAAGCAGTGCTGCAGTGGATGAGTAATTGATTTTGCACTTTTGAGGAATCGAAATCGAGTCCAATCCAGGCTCGGCTTAAAGTTGTTCTCATTAGCTGTTAATTCTCTCCAGTAACTCACTCTCTGTCGTATGATTTCACCGTCGTATAATTATGGCAACGTATTATGGCTGTGGCGGCATTCTTTATCAGCGCCTGTCATAGCTGGGTAATGATGAATTGTTTGTTTCAAAGTAATCGTGAACGGTATGTCATACTGTGCTATAATAGTTAATTGTTGTTGCCGTTCGTACTATCACTGCTACTAATTCATTAGTCGTTTGATTCCATCGTTAGCGATTGAAATGTCTCTCAGCCTCTCCGTAGAATACTTTTTCTTGCTCGGCTTCTCATTTTCAAATGGATTGTAATCTTAGCAGTAGATGGTCTGCAGAGGAATCTAGGAACTGATTTTGGACTGGTTTCGATATATTAGTTTATTTAAGTAACTTTTTCTTGGAGTTCTTTTTGAACCATGGAACGAGAACCGGCAATGGCGGAATTAATAATTGACATTCAAGTAAGAAACGAGTCGATACTTTCTTCCATGGGTGTTAGATTTTTTTCTTGAATTGGTTTAGTTCGGATTCAGGAAGCACGCAACCACTGTTGAATCTGGAGCAAGATCCGTGACGATCTCGTATCTCATGCTGGCGAGCCATCACTTGTTTGCAGGGTCAAACTTATGTAGTTGTCCTCCCATTTTTTTTTCGATAACGAGCTGTTTCGGTACCGGGACTGTAGCTGTTCGTGATGCATTTTGAACGTCTCGAGTATTAAGGCAAAGTTACAAGAATACGAGAGCTTATGACGAAAGACGCACATGAGTTCAAGCGGTATACAATTTAATCACTTAACAGAGGAAGCCATGCTGAATTATCTTTGTATGTTTCTTCCAGCCTGTTAATCTTGCTTCTTCTTCGTTTCACTGTGGCTGCTTTCACCAAGATTAGTTATCCTCCTTTTCGCCAGTTGACTTCCTTGCGGACGATGCTACTTGCATTCCATTGTATGACATTGCTGTTTAGTGTGCTGTGCTCCGCAATGTCAGATCCCTTTTTACAAGTCGCGTGTTCATTGTTCCGTTTTCTCAGCTATCTACCGAATTCTTCAACGTAGCTGTCTGCAACTACAGTTAAAGTAATAACTTGATCATGTTTTCATCTGTTCCCAATCGATAATCCTTTTAGGATAGTTATTTTGTTGCAGTTCATTTGCCATGATAAGGTTCACTTGTTTCATATTTTTGAAACTGATGAACTCGAGCATAATCTAACGCCCCTAAGAGGGTCCGCTTTTTAACGGAGACTTAAGAGCGGCATCAGCGATCGCTGGATCGTTCTGTGTGACGGGTTTCTGTACGTTTCTAATAATCTACTTCTCTGTATGCTGGCTATAACGAACAAAAAATAGAAGCTTACTGCTTTCTACTTCCTCATAAGTAAATAGGATATTTTCACGACTAGTGTGAAGACAGTGACTATGACAATGTTAATCCGCTCTTCTGGTCAGAGGAATGAAAACACTATATGCAAGTTAGTGTAGTGTTTATTACAATCATTATCATCAGCCTTTTTTCGAATATTGATGGATAGAGGTATCGCAAAGATATTAACGTAAAATTCTCTCAAGCGACTACTCACTACGCAACTGTTCCAATAAACTTCTTCGTTTCATCTTGTTGTGATCTTTCCACGAACAGTTTGCTGCCTCTTGGAACCCTGTCTGATATATGTTCCGGCACTAATGAAAAATAACTTTATTTAGTAAAGGCTTCATCTGGTTAATATTTGTACAGATATTGATTTTAAAATGTGTAAATGCTAATTCGATGGATAGTTTTTAATCACGGTAGTCTTCAAACGTCTTACTCTACACAAACGCATTATATACTTGTTGCTCTGCGGAGTCAAGCATTTGAGG